GGGAAATGAGCCCTTGAATGAGATGAAGACCAGGAAAACTCAGTAATTTTTAAAACTGTATTTTGTTTGTTAACCCAGCAAAGCCCACCTCTAAAGATTTCCACATGGATCCAGGGGCTTCATGATTAGTGTAATAGTAAAGCATCTGAGTGATGTCATTTTCTCTCTAGTAAAGAGCCCAAGACTCAAAGCCAAGTAACAGTACAATATTGTAGCTGTGCTCTGGATTTTTGGGCCTAAACCCTTGATAAAGAAGGGCATTCCTGCAGATGGAACAAGGGCACTTGGGTCATTCCCAGGTTAGTCAGTAATGTTGTCTGGCCCTCAGTGCCTCAGTCTGCAGACTTATTTAAAAAAAAAAAAAAAGATAGACTTTTTATCTGTAGAGAATATAGCCATCAACAGATTATAAAAACACCATTCTTTTTTGAAAATCTCAATGAGTGGAAATCTCCAGATTTCTAGACTTCCCAATTGGTCTTAAATAAAAATTAACTGAAGCAATTTGTCAGACCTTGACAGTTTTCTACATTCTCTGGTACTTCTTGTTTGGTGCCATAAAGTCAGTTTCAACTCTTAACAACCTCATGTGCAACAGAATGAAACATTGCCCAATGCTGCACCATACTCACAATTGTTGCTATGCTTGAGCCCATCATTGTAGCCACCGCGTCAGTCCATCTCATTGAAAGCCTTGCCCTTCTTCACTATCTACTTTACCAAGCATGATGTCCTTCTCCAGGGACAGGTCCCTCCTGATAACATAGCCAAAGTACAAGAGGTGAAGTCTCACCATCCCCCCTTCTAAGGAGCGTTCTGGCTATACTTCCCCCAAGGCAGATTTGTTTGTTCTTCCAACAGTCCATGGTACATTCAGTACTCTTCACCAACACCACTGTTCAAATGCATCAAATCTACTGCTGTCTTCTTTATTCATTGTCCAATTTTCATGTGCATATGAGACTACTGAAAACACCACGGCGTGGGACAGGTACACCTCAGTCTTCAAATGACATCTTTGCTATTTAACACTTTAAAGAGGACTTTTGTAGAAGATTTGCCCAATGGGATACATTGTTTGATTTCTTAACTGCTGCTTCCATGGTTGTTGACTATGGATCCAAGTAAAATGAAATCCTTAACAACTTCAGTCTTTTCTCCATTTACCATGATGTTGTTTATTAGTCCAGTTGTGAGGATTTTTGTTTTCTTTATGTTGAGGTATAATCCACACTAAAGCCTGCTGTCTCTGTAGTCTCTGGTTTTTGCTGACCCTTTAAAGAAAGGAAAACATAAAAATTATGTTTGTGCTTCATGACAGAGCCTCCTTTTAAACTTATATTCAACTTTCTTAAATACTGACACTGTAAAATAAAGGACCACTTTGTAGGACTACTTTGTTAAGGGAAGTGAGTATCAAACCCGACTTTAGGAAGGAAAATCAATAACATTTGAATCTACTTACAACCTTTCTGATGACAGGCCAAGAGGAGCAAGCAAGAGAAGGCTGTTTTCTTCCGTTTGTGTGGATTTTTGAAGATTTCCCTTTATGGTGTACTGATTTTAAACATGAATGGGTAAGAAAGCCATCACTGGATTTAAGATCTAGCTTCATGCAGAAGAAGAAAGAGTTTTTCTGTTACAAGGATGCAACTGCAGGCATTTTTGCCCCCACAGCTGTTCAGAACCATCTTCCTTTTGGGTTTACCTTTGTATTTGTTTGCTTGGTCAACCATGATTTTAGAATTATGATTGGTGTTTGCCCTTTATTCTCATAGAACCTAATAACAGTTTAGTCCTTTTTGAGGTTTATTGACTATAGAAAGGTAATAGAATCTTGCCCTGGCATCCCACCACATGGGCTGAGATTGCCAATGGATCACCCACAAGTAGACAAAAACAAAAGCAGATCTCACGTAGAGCTTGTCCAGAAAATCCCTTGTTCTGTGAGAGATGAGGATTCTGTGATGACCTATGGTTACAGTGTGTACATCACTCATGGTATTCCTTTCTAGAGTCCAGAGATAAAGAGAATCATATAGAACTCTACATAGAAGGGAAAAGGGACCTATCTCCACTCCTAACACTGAGGTGCCACCACGTCAAGTTTACTATCAAGAATTAAGGAGTTTCAGGAAAATGTCTCAAAAACAGATGTTAGTGCTAAAGTCTTTAAGGAGGTAAGAGGCAGCCTTAGAATTGTCATCCTATCTCCTATCACTTCCACCTTCCTCTTCATCGAGGGTGGGAGCAAGGGAAGAGAAAGTTGAAATCAAGTCTGTTATCATTTGGACAAATCTGCAGACAAAGAAAAAGCCATCAAGATCTAGCTTCCAAACCTTCACATTCCATTAAAGGACCCTGCGGAGTCTCCCCAGAATTCAGAAAAGCAGCAGTTGCTTCTGTTCAAAGGAGGAAGCAGAAATGCCAAGAAGCCACTGAATCATTTAATAGTCTTCATAAACCTATTCTGAACTAAAGTTTCATATAGTCTGAAGTGTAAAGGTGGGATCCACTGACAACCATGAATAAAATCTAGCTCCTTACAATAAAACAGCACCGAGATTTGCAAATGATGAGCAAGGTTGAGAAAGCCCTGACAGATATAATGGGCTAGACAGATTACCTTAATGTGCTTCCAGGAGGAGAAGCACCCTCAAGTGTTTAGGTGTCATAATCATCAGTAACGTAGGATGATTGTATCTACAATAATGCATTACACCAGCTCTTTTTCTCCAGGGGCATCAATATGTTAATTAAAAAAAAAGTGCAAACTGCATTTAGATGTGATATTCCTAAGAACAGATTTTCACAGATTTCAAATGTCCTTATGAATAGTTTGATGAAAACATATTTTAAAGGACCCTCCAAAAGTATTTACAAAGGAAGCAATCCTCCATCTGTAAGAAAGCCATCCTAAGACCCAAGAATGAAATAGTCGATTCTTCCCACCTGTGTTTTTAGAATGAAACGAAACCAAGTCCTTTTTGTTGTCCTAGCATTGCTTTAGGCTGGGGTCATGAGCACTTCCCATGGACTGAGAAATTAATTAGTTCTGATCAGTTTATATCAAAGTTTCTGTTTAAACCCAACCTTTTATAAAATAAATGGCTTAGAGATTACTTATTAATCAATGAAGATTCTGAACATCAGATTTCTTTGTTTTATTTAATTTTCTTATTCTGAATTAAAGAAAAATAGAGGTTTGCCAAATACTCTCCTCTTTTCATGTTAGGTGGGGCCAATGCTCTGTCAGAAGGCAAGGTTTGTGAACCTTGTGCCAAAGAGCTACGTGAGCAAATAGTGAGATAAACAAGCCATTTGTGGAGACAGAGGTGGAGCTGGGCTTGGTTAGGAATGAATCAGGCCAACCCACAGAGTGGGTGTCTCCTTCCCAAGTTGCTCTTCAGGGCACAATTAAAACCCCTATAAAAGGACCTGTTCTCAGTTACCCAGTACACTTGCCAGCAGTGTCAGCGAGCACTCAAGTTCCTCCTCTGGTGAAGTGGGTAAGTCCCATTCTGTCCAATTCTTCACCTTCTGGCTATTGGAAAGGTTGGGGGGTGCTTCCTAGAGTGCCAGAAGAGATTGGTATCCTATCGGGATTTCAAACTCCCACCACCTTCATTCCATCTCTTCTGGTTGAAGCCATTACTTGAGTGGAGATGTATCACTTCACCCAAGCCTCTGAACTCTGAACTCCATATCTCTTTTTATATTGGTTCTACCCAAAATGGGCCATTTTCATATAGTTATAGCATCTAGGGTATGGAATTGAAAAGTGAATAAAGAAGTTAGCCAGGTGAGCTACTTAACCACTGTCCCTCACCCAGCCTATGAAGCCATCCATATATTCTTTTAACATTGATCTGCTGATGGCTACGTTCTGATTTTAAAAAAGATCAAATGGTTTATTTGAGTTTAACAAAAGCTAGCCACAACACCAGTAGTACTCAGTTTTCCAGATTCAGTTTGACCTGTTGACTCTGGTAGCTTGTCAGGAAGGACATCTCAGATGCTTTTAATAATTGGTTATCAGTAATATATCTGAGTTAAGGCATATAAGATATTTTCAGCAATGGTGTATCTGTTTCACTAAGAAATAGTGGTGTTTAATTACAGGGTTGGTGACTTGTGAGTTATATATATATATATATATAGAGAGAGAGAGAGAGAGAGAGAGAGAGAGAGATCTCTTATATAGACTATAAAGTAGGGGAATAATTCACATTCCCTTATTGTTCAAGTTACTCCCATATTTTGCTGCCACATTTAGCTGAACGTGTCTTCTATCCACTTTGAGATACTCTCAAGCCTTCTCCTCACCTTTTGGCTTTCACCAATCCTCTTTGCTCAGTTTTAGAGGGATCTGCTTATGAGTAGAAATATATGAAATTTAAGCTTTCTTACTACTCTTCACTGTCTCTTCACTGTCTGCTCTGAAATATGTTGGGGAGCTGGAAGATAAAAATCAAAAACCCAAACCCGTTGCCATTGATTCTGACTCATAACAGTCGTATATGACAGACAGAACTGCCCCCATAGGATTTCCAAGGCTGTAAATCTTTACAGAAGTACTCTGTCACATCATTCTCCTACAGAGCAGGTAGTGAGTTCAAACTGCCTACCTTTTGGTTACCAGCTAATCACCTAACCACTGCGCCACCAATGCTCTTAGCTGGAAGATAGAGAAGGGACATATATGCATTCTCTGAACTGAGTAGACAATCAAAAGCTATCTGAGAATAGTCAGACAGGAGGACAGTTACAGTATAGCCTGAAGATGATTCCCTGGATTGAAATTTCTCAGTGTCTCTCTTCCCCTTCCTGAGCACAATATTTGCAGATGAAATTGCAGGTTGAAAACTACTGTTGTAAAATCAAGTTATTCAGGGATCTGCCTGAAACTGTGGATGAAGGCTTGTAAGAACAGAAACAGAGTTTTGATTCTGGATGTTGTTTTATTGTTGTAGGTTTACTTGAACTTGAAGAAAAAAAAAATGTCTCCACTTCTGAGAAGCATCTTGGACATCACTGAAATTTTCAATCAATATGCCTCAAATGATTGTGATGGGGCAGCACTAAGCAAGAAAGACCTAAAGGAACTCCTTGAGAGGGAATTTGGAGATGTCCTTCGGGTAAGAACTAACAAGAAAAAGAAATCACTCTACTGATTTAGAGCTATTAAATTTCTTCTCAGGAAAGATCAGGGCAAAGAGTTGTTGTTGTTATGTGCCATAGAGTCGATCCTGACTCAAGAGACGTGACCCCTCCTTGGGTTTCCGAGGTGGTATCACTATGGAAGTAGATTGCCCAACCTTCCTTCCGAGGAGTGGCTGGTGGTAGTGATTTTCTATTCATTTTACAACAGGACAGGTCTACACAATATCCTCCATTCATTTATGAGTGCAAAGGCACTTAATTAGCATTGTAGTCTGAGTACTGTAGAAATTGTAACAAATATTTGATATATTTAATGGCAATGTGAACAACTTATTCATAGGTAGTTATCACCAAAAATAGCAAATCAAACTACAGTTGGGAGGAATTTAAATTTAATTCCAAATTTCAAGAACTGAAATCAATCTGATCCCTAGTAAATTGGTGTTGCTTTAAATGTTTTGTTCTGTTTTCAAACATAGATAGAAATCAAATTAGAGGTACTCTTTCAGATAGAAATGGCTTTTGCAAATCTTTATAAATTCCCACTGTATTTCTCTCTTGAGGATAACTCATTCACCCAGGAAAAGAAAACTTGTGTTCTTGTGTTCAGCACTAAATTACAAGATGCAAGAATTTCCAATGAATACAAGCTTTAAAACTAGTTGTCCACATTTTATATGGGGAAAACAAGACAGGATATACACATTTATCTAATTGTGCGATTGAAAGTTGTTCAAGTCTTGTAGTTTACTTATAAACAGCATATTGTAATTTTATTTTCCATCTTTTTCAGAGACCACATGATCCTGAGACAGTAGATCTGCTCCTGGAACTTCTGGATCGCGACCGTGATGGGCTAATCCGTTTCAATGAATACCTCCTGTTAATTTTCAGAATGGCTCAAGCTTGTTATTTTGCTCTCCGCCAGGCCACCGGATTCGATGAGAAAGGAGAAACGTTTGAGGGAAAGGGAAACCCATTAAAAGATCACAGGCAAGAAGACGACCAAAGGAGATTAGAGGCCCGGAACAGACCATTGGCAGAAGAACGCAGGCAGAAGAGGCAGGAGCCGGAGAGGCAGCTCGCTGAGGAAGTGTTGCAGAGGGAGAGAGAGGAGAGACGCCAGCAGCGTGACACGCAGCGCCGCGATGAAGAGCAGAGGCTGCGAAGGCGAGAACTGCAGGAATTGGAAGAAGAGCGCCTTGAAGAGAAAGACCAGCTGCAAAGGCGCAAGGTTCGGGAGCGTGAGGAGTTTCCTGAGAATGAACAACGGCAAAGGCGGGAAAGGCAGGAGCAGCGGGAGCGACTGCGCCTTGAGGAGGAACAGCAACTAAGCCGACAGCAGCTAGAGCGCCAAGGACAAGACCAGGTGCAAAGGCGGGAAAGGCAGGAACTGAAGAGGGAACTCCTCGAGGAGGAGCAACAGCAAAGGCAAGAGAGGCAGGAGCTACGTGAAAGGGAGCGCCAGGAGGAAGCCGGGCAGCTGCAAAGACGCGAGCAGCTAGAGCGCCTGGAAGAAGAAGAAGAGCAGCTGCAAAGGCGGGAACGGCAGGAACAGAAGAGGGAACTCCTCGAGGAGGAGCAACAGCAAAGGCAAGAGAGGCAGGAGCTACGTGAAAGGGAGCGCCAGGAGGAAGCCGGGCAGCTGCAAAGACGCGAGCAGCTAGAGCGCCTGGAAGAAGAAGAAGAGCAGCTGCAAAGGCGGGAACGGCAGGAACAGAAGAGGGAACTCCTCGAGGAAGAACGACAGCAAAGGCGGGAGAGGCAGGAGCTGAAAAGGGAGCTACTCGAGGAGGAGCAGCAGCTGCAAAGGCGCGGACGCGACGAGCCCCGCGAGCCGCTAGAGAGGCGCGAGCTAGAGAGGCGCGAGCTAGAGCGCCGCCAGGAGCTGGAGGAGGAAAGGAGCCGGCGCCAGGAGCGCGAGCAGCTACTACGCCAGCAGCTGGAGGACGACGCGCAACGACAGGCCAGGCCAGCGCAGCTCCGGGAGGACCGCGAGCAGCAAAGACGCGAGGAGGAACAGGCTCGCCGGCAGCAGGAGGAGGAGGAGCAGCGCCGCGACTTCAAACGGCTGCTGGAGGAAGAGAAAGAGAGGCGCCGCCGGAAGCTGTTGCCCAGGCCCACTCTAAGCGAGGAGCAAGAGAGACAAGTGAGGGCAAAGGAACGTCAGGAGCGGGAAATACGGTTCGGTGAGGAGGAGGGGCAGCGCCTTGGGCGACGCGAGGAGGAAAGAGAGCGGCAGCTCCTCGAGGAGGGGGAGGGGCAGCTCCAGCGTCGTGAGCTCACAGGACAGTTCCAGGAGGAGGGCAGCCTCCAAGAGGATCAGGAAAGGAGGCGACGCCAAGAGGACCGGCGCGGCGACCAGAAATGGAGATGGCAACTCGAAGAAGAAAGCCAGAGACGCGGCCGCATTCTGTATTCCAAGCCAGCCATGAGGGAGCAACTGGAGGAGGAAGAACAGCTCCAGCGTCAGGAGCGCAACAGACTACAGTACCGGGAGGAGGAGGAGCTGCGGCAGGAAGAGGAAAAGCTGCAGAGAGAACGGGAGAACAGAAGGCACCAGGAGCGGGAGAGACGGTATCAGGACGAGGAGCAGCTGCGGCATGAGGAGGAGGAGCAGTTGCTGAGAGAAAGAAGGGTCCAGGAGCGCGACAGGCAGTACAGGGAGGAAGATGAGGTCCTGCGCCAGGACAGGAAGAGGCAATTCCGGAATGAAGATCCTCGCCGCGATCTGAAATGGCAGTTGCAAGTAGAAAAAGAAAACGAAGTTCGCAATGACAGGGTTTACTCCAAACGCAGAGCCAACGAAGAAACAACTCGGCAGTTGGAAGATTCCCAGGTCCGGGAGAGAGAATTCCAGCAGGATCGGCGGCCACTTAAGGATGAACTGGAAGAGGAGCGCTCTCTCCAGGAGCGAGAGCAAGAGCGGAGGCGTTGGCAACAGAGGGACAGGCAACTGCAAGCCGAAGAACCACTGGAGGGAGAGAAGCCACGGGAAGCGAGAAGACGAGACGGGGAATTCCGAGAGGAAGAGCAGCTGCTAAGAGAAGAAATAGAAGAGAAGAGATACCCTGAAGAAAATGTCCAGTGTTCCCGCGATAGACGATTCCAGGAGGAGGAGCAGCTGCGCCGTCAGGAACGCGACAGGCAATTCCGGGAGGAAGAACCGCTGCGCCGGCAAAAGCGAGACAGAGAATTCCGCGAGGAAGAGCAGCTGCGCCAGGAACGCGAGGCTCAACAGCTGCGCCGCCAAGAGCGCGACAGGCGATTCCGCGAGGAAGTGCCGCTGCGCCGCCAGGAGCGCGATAGAAAGTTCCTGGAAGGAGAACAGCTGCGCCGCCAGGAACTCTCCAGAGAATTACGAGAGGAAGAGCAACTGCGCCAGGAACGCGAGGGAGAGCCGCGGCGCCGCCAGGAGCGCGATAGAAAATTCCGAGAGGAAGAACGTTTGCGCCAGGAACGTGAGGATGAACAGCTGCGCCGCCAGGAGCGCTCCAGAGAATTCCGAGAGGAAGAGCAGCTGCGCCAGGAACGCGAGGAAGAGCAGCTGCGCCGCCAGGAGCGCTCCAGAGAATTCCGCGAGGACGAGCAGCTGCTCCAGGAACGCGAGGAGCAGCAACTGCGCCAGGAACGCGAGGCTCAACAGCTGCGCCGCCAAGAGCGCGACAGGCAATTCCGCGAGGAAGAGCAGCTGCGCCGCCAG